CGAAAGGGCTCTCCACTTTAGTGGCCCGTGGATTTGACTCCAATTAGATCATATGAATGTTTCTTATCGCCTATCCTCGTATATAATCATCAACTTTAATCGCGTTAGTCAATAACGGAATCGAATAAGTCAAATAACGAGAATGAACCTGTGAATACATAGAATTTTGTATACAAAGCGAATGTAATAGAATGAAGAGAAACGATACAGAGTGGAGATGGCTAGTAAACTAACTCCCTTCTAACCAAGCGTTAATCAATAAGTTGAAATCATGAGTCAGTTGAAGCTAGACCACCATTGAAAACCTGGATGCACTGGACGGCCGTTTCGTCCTGGTACGGGACTCCTCAGCAGTGCGCATCCACGACCTCGCACCACGCGGGGCTCGAGCCCAGGACTCACTGGCTTCGCGCGCGTGCACTTAACCACTAGACCACTGAGCCGGCATCCAACGGTGTTAATGTCTAACTTCAACCAATCCACGAAGTTGCGCCACCGTACACCATTGTCTTCAGTGAGTTGTTATCTCACAACAGACCGGTTGAACTCCACTGGTAACGGCTTCTCACTAGAACTCCAGAAATTTTTAAAACTCTCCACAAAACCCTTTCTGATTACGTTAATCAATAATTATAGTTACACAAAAGTAAGTTACAGATACGTGATGAGTAATGGGATAAGAAATGTACACACTTATGCGCTCATATAAAAACAGCCAAGATTGATAAGCGAATAAATAACAAGGTCAGAATGTGACTCAAGTAGAATGAATAGAATGGGCTGTCCGAATGCTAGAATAAGGTATATGGGCTTAACATAATAACCGACACTACAACCATTTAGCTGTTACGTGTAATCTACCTACCAGACCGACTTGGAAGGAGAACCAACATCCACAACCATTAGCCTATCTAATTTATTATAAACAGGATACTTGAAGAAAAATACCTTCGTATAGATAAAGATGTTGTCAGATGTTCCCAATGTCCCATCATTCTGTACAAAGATTAAATATAAAAGCCATTGTTTTATGATGGCTTAGGGATAATGAATGTCGTAACCTAAGTTAGTGGTTTAAACCTAAGTGATAAATGGATTATATATACATAGTAATCCAGTTACCCAGTAATTATAAAACACAACTATAATTAATAATAACTCAAAAAATCAGTTCCAGTATAATATTTGTTCTATTATAACATAAATTGACATAAAAAGTAGAGCTCTCGTACATCAGAATATACTACATGTCTATTTTGATATCATAAAGAACGTCTAAGGAAGTGACATCTATGATTCTACACAAGACCAACTCATAATTCTTCATATATTGCAGATATGATTATGACTACTATTTTGGAATCCAGTTGTTCATGTTCCCAATCTGAATCAACCACATTATTGTGAAATGATTTCGGACAAAATGATTAATATCTTATCGTTTTGTTCATGACTTAGATTATTCCAGTAATCGAATGCAATTGAAATGGTATTGGGTTTGATCTATTTTAAAGTTTCTAATGTGCACGAATGAAGAATCTCAAGTTAGAATGAATTAGCTAATCTGTACTCTTTGTATTTTAATAATTTACAGAGATATATCAATCTGTTATGAACAATCCATTATCAAACTACACCAGTCTCAAAACCTTATGAGATGGAGGAGAAGATTTGTAGCTCAGGTGGATGATTTTGATGGAGTTTAGTTCTCTGAGCTGGATGGTTTGGTCGTAGAGCTTTCATCGTTCTTTTGAACGATATCATTAGCAGAAACTTCAAGTAGAAGTGAAGTGTTCGAATTTCTCCACATGTAGTTCACAACTTCTCCTGTACACCTCGATGTTAATTGGTTCATGTTGACCAAGTTCCATGACCAAACCATCCATCAAAATCAAGACCTTATCATTAAATACGAATATATGAAGTAATTTAATCAATACATTTTTCGAATGAAATTGATAACATAAACAAGAATAATGAATATTTATCGCTGAACTTATCTTTCAGATAACAGATTATTCATTCATATAAAGTACATGCAATGTATAGGGCCGTCCAATGCTTCCACGTTTCCAATGGTGGTTTAATATTGATCCATTCATGATCTGAATCTAAATGGATTAATCTAGGAAAATGATGAAATAAGGTTCCAAATTAACAGTTTGCTCTTTATTCTTAGGAATGTCTAGTAAGCTTTGTTTTTACTTAATCTTTGTAGGATATCTTAGCTAATAATATAAATTTTATATATAAACATATATTGATGAGACTATAATTTATGGACGACCTATGAGCGACGCTAGACTGACGTTGAGAATGTCCACCTACTAAGTAGAACTAAATGAGTATTATAAACCTGTGTGAGGAATTAGAATTATGATTTACAATTGATGATTAAGGTTAAGAATTAGATTGAGAATTTTCATTACGAACTGATATCAGCTATAATGCCCAAAACTCTATTTAATCAAATGGATAAGTGAATTTTGCGTGAAAATTAGAGACCTGTTATCTTATCTATTAGCTCGAACATATGTCCCTGTAGGTTCTAGAATGACAGACAGGTCTATTGGAGGACGGTAAGACTAAAATCAGCAACTCAAGGTCTGAGGTTGAAGTCGTACTGCTGACTGTAGAGAGGTGTGACATCAGTAATTTGTTTCCCTTGGGCAACCAGCATCTGCAGCGATGCTGCCTTCTCACAAGGAAGGATGGAGTTAAAAAAACAACCCTAAAAATATCGCACCTCACCTTACCTCATGGATTTTCGTCTCCGGCGGTATGGAGCTAACACATTAAAAACCTTACACAAAAAGCTGTATGCGATCGACCCCAAGCAGTTGTCCCTTGGGCTCTGCGGTCACACTCCCGGGTCGTTAAGACCAACACTAATCCAACTTCCTTTTCAGATTCTTCAAGAAATACCCTTCCACGGTGTGGGCAGCCGGGAAGTGACATCAACCTTCATACCCGTTACAGCACACGAACTATTGAAAATGACATTTTCATTCTATTAAACATTTGATCAAAATGTAATTGTTATTCTCTGTATTTAAAAACAATTAAATGGGATTGTATAGTTGATTTTTTTAATTTTTGCTTAGTAACAAAAACAAACAAAAATGTTTCATCAATATGTAATGTGTACACATATAGTTACTAATTTAGCTCAATTAATAATTTGTATACAAATATTTACATAAAAGTAATTTCAAAATAAACAAAAATATATATCATAGTACAAATTAGTGATAAACTATATCACAATAGTAAATTGTCTTGGATATTCATTTGGTATTGAACTTTGAACGGTAAATATACGCACGCTGACTGAAGAAAAAGGAATGAAACATTGTAGAATATGATGGATATTTAAAGAAATGTTAAACAAAACAGTAAAGTTAATAGTTGAGATCATGAGTCAGTCAAGCTGGATCACCGTGGAAAACCTAGAAGCACTGGACCCACAATCCCGCCCTTCGCGAGATTCGCGATCGCGCGCGAGACTAACAGGTCCTGGGTTTGAATCTCGCGGAACGAGATCGTGAAGACGTTCTGCTGAGGAGTCCCACAATAGGACAAAATGGCCGTCCAGTGATTCCAGGTTTTCCACGGTGATCTTGCTTCCATTGACTCATGATCTCAACTATTGAAAATAGAAAGTATTCATTGTGAATTTCTTGTTTTGCATTATATGTCCACTCAAAATCTAAGAAATTCGGTAGGTGAGTAAAGCATCTTCCACCCCCTTATCCTTTAAGTCGTCTTGATATTCAATATACTGTAAATCACTGACCTATTTCCGATTATGTAACAATGATTTAAGCCTTTATTATTCTTATCAAAACTAGTACATCTGTCATCACACTATCAATTTTTATTTTCCACTTCCTTATGTAATCTATTCCACTGTTATCATTAAATCATAAACTACCTTGATTAGTTTAATAATTTCGTATATGTATATAAATATTACTGTATAGTAGAATAAAACCTGATGAGGATCTAATCGAAAACAATATTATTCACCTATATCTATGTTGTTCTATATTACAATACGGGAATTTTTCAAATATTCAGTAACAGTCAAAAATAATACAACTAACTGATATGATTAGCCTGACCACGACTTAATATATTTCCATACCAAAAGCCCGACACAATCCAACAACAATGAACAATCAATAATAAGTAATGATAATTATAAGGATAGAGGAATATATAACTCATCTGACACCTATCAGACAATCTACATGTCTGACTAACCAGAAAACCAACCATTATCATTCTCGCTCACACATGTTCTTGATTTGAGTTGTGTTGAAGTCCTGTAGAATAGATACTAGAAGAGAATCTAGTGTAGATATTAGTCTAAGGTAACTTAACATCCCATTCGTGCATTCGTGTAAACTCAGCAACCCAACCGTTATAACATTAGACGAAGTAAAACCGAGCGTTATAACACTAACACTTTAGATATTGATATGACTAATAACTTCTTTTCAACTATGTCTATTGATTCTCTCTAACAGATATATACTTCTTAAAACACATCTTACACAAATCTTCTTATCATTAGTATTCAAAAATTGTTACCAGTTTCGATTGATCAAATGTGACAAAGTTGACAGCATATATTGAATTTATTATAATGTAATTTATTGGATTTATATTCAATGGTTCAAAGTCTTGGAGCTTACCACAAATTCTGAAATCTTTGGATACTATGATCTTTTAAATTGTAGATTTGTTTCACTATGAAATCTCACATTTGGATGAAACAAATGTTTAATACTTTCTAGTTTTCAGTAGCTTTCTGCTGGTTCTGCGAACGGAAACAAAGACCAATAAACAAGCTATTCTATTGCATCCCAGCCCCCCCCCTTACTAGAGAGAAAAGTCGAAGTCCAAACGAGAAAGTATATTCCACAAAAAGCCAGAATCATAAGTGATAAAAATAGACACAAATCAAAACGTATATATACAACACAAAACCGTCCTTGGGAAGCGTTACAAAATAGCATACTCAAGGAAACAACAGACCAATAGCATCTTAGATATTTCCCAGTGGGAAATACAACATGAAAGTGAAAAGAGTACTTTTTGCGCGAAAATAAAGAAATTCAAATTTTCTAAATAAAATTACAAAATTAGATTCTTTTTCAAGTGAGTTATGGGATCTAACATCCTTAACACTTTCTGAACTTTTCAACAAACTTAGTATAATAATCATGAATATAGTATTACATCATAACTAACTTGATAAAAGTACAAGAATATCAATTAACTGTATTCTGTTGGTTTCTATCCGGTTGATTAGAACGTATAATAATAATTTTATTCTCTGTTCGATTTGGTTTCGGTAATGAATTGGTTTGTGAACCAATTGCTTCAGTATATGTAGGTGGATAAACTTGATTCAATACTTTAGATGAGTGAGTAGTAAATACATTTTCATTTGGAAGTGATTTTGGTAAACTATTCACTTTTATATGTAAACAATCATCATTATGTAATTGTTTAGTTTGCATATATTCTAAAGCTCTTAGAATATCTTTTACATCTGTTATAATACAATTATGAAATCCATCTAAAGAAAAAAATTGAACAAAAAAAATGTATTATGTAATCCATTTTGTATGAACATTTGTCTATCAAAAGATTAGATTATGAAAAAATTTGATTGATGTTAGATCACTATTGAAAATCTGGAAGCACTGGATGGCCGTTTCGTCTTAGTATGAGACTCTTCAGTGGTATGCATCCACGATCCTGCTCTCGAGGTTCGAACCCTTGGCGTTCGTGTGCGAGATCGTTAGGTCATGAATGAATTCAACTACTAAATTAATAAAAAATTCTCCAAAAAAACCACATTTCTGATTAGAATCAGTTATGTCATTTGTTGTTAAAAATTGGTCATCGTAGACAAATTTATAATACATATCCAAGTATAATAATGTATAATGATAAGGAATCCGATATTGATGCTTTCAAATAGCCTAATACGGCTGAAAGTGCGGACAGTCATTCCTTCATCTCGAAATCGTTTCACATGTCCACGTGCATATAACCACGGATAGGGAAATCCTACTCACTGCCTTCTCGCACAACGGTGTTGTTTACGAAATTGAGAGGATGAAAAGCGGATGTCTGGTGCTTTAACCGGGTTGATGGATATAGAGAGTCCGTCTAGGGGAGTTGGAAAACCCTCATTCCAAACTAATGGTGCACATGGACTTGCTCCATGATCCTGAGGGAACAAATGGTGTATGAACATATTGTTGGTCATCGGCCACTAGGGGAATGCATCTTTCGTAGTTGCTACACTGCCTTGTGGATCAGACATTTAGGTCGAAGGCTCAGAGTGTGCCCCCTTAAGAAAACCACCAGTTTCAGTTTGGACACCCGTGTAGTATCTCATCCCTAACACAAATCGAATGATTGATGTGGCGCATGTCTATTTGGTGCCTCCTTCTACCAATATTTATGTGTTTGAATAAATAAATAAATAAATCCGTTAATGACAATAAATCTGAGATAACAATGAAACTTATCATCTCATTAACAATGGGATTTATGTACAATCAACTGACCAGTCCCATAGACGATGAAACCAGGGACGTAAATTAAACTGCTTGTCTCTTTGTAAAATATAATCAACTTGTACATACAAACATCATTTAAGTATTCATTTAAAGAACCCAAATACAAACAAAGATCAATCATATTTAATCTTAGAAACCACTACCGATTTCAGTCATTTGATCAATATTTTAAGTCTTTTTTTAGTTGCTTATTATAAAATACCACAAAAACATAATATATTGTTATGCCTCGATAAGCATAATGAATGGTAACTTTTAGGATCCATTTATGGACCAATACTATGTGTATATTTTTATTGTATAATTGTTAAATAACTAAACTATACATATTCATGACCCTCTTATTATGAACTTCATTTTGACCTATGAACTATTATTATACGATTAACCATTCTTGAATTATTCCCAGTCTGTTAATCCCTACCTCACACATTCACAGCCACATTTGGCCAAATCTTGTACAAATGTTGATTCCTATTTTATGGTAATATGTGGTCTGTCTGATTGGTATATAAACCCAGTATGTTTGAAATATATGATGCATATCCTAGGGGCTCGGATTGTTGTTCTGGACATAACTGGCTGGGCTAGGCACGAAACAGGATCAATAAGGACTCTAGACTGCTCTCACGGGTCTTACACGTCATTGGTCCGATCGATAATTCACTGTTCTCTAATTGGCGGTATTATTACGTTATACACTAACAGGGCACTCAGGCCACAAGTTGTAGCACATATAGCTATATCATAATTTTAAGTTTTCCTCTAAGTATATGCAACGTTCAGAGTTATTAATACTAATTAAACGAAAATCAGTTATTTAATGGTTGAATTCATGAGTCAATTAAAGCTAGACTATCACAAAAAACCTGGAAGAACTTGACGGCCATTTCGTCCTAATATAGGACTCTTCAATAGTGCACATCCATGATCCTACTCGCAGGGTTCAAACCCAAGACTTATCGGCTCGTGTGCAACCATCTAGTGTTCGAACCCCGTAAGCAGAATCATAGATCCACATTGCTCATCAATTCCATACTACGACGAGATAGTCATCCAGTGCTTCCAAGTTTTTTATGTTGGTCTAACTTTAATCAACCCATAAATTCAACTATGATAATCATAAACAATCATATTGTAATATCAACACAAAACTATAATACATATTCAACTATCATAATATATAATGATACTTACCATTCCATGTTAATGTAAAACCAGAATATTGTTTATGTGTTATTTCATGTAATTTTTTTATTAATTTACTCCAATCCATATTTTTAAATAATGACCATTGTAAACGATAAGTAATTGGTATAGAACATTCTGGATTATAAATAAAAAATTTTATTGCTAACATTGGATTTACTTGACGATATTTTTCTCTGTATAAAGATAAAAAACAAAAAAAAACTAGTATCAGTAAGGGTTTAACTCCACCTGGAGTCCTCCGGGGGGGCCACTGCCGGTCCCGAGCCCAGATAAGGGAGGAGAATTGGGCATGGGTTAACGACCCCATCCCGTAGAAAACTAACTCGCTATAAAAAAAAAACGCTAACCAGAAATAAAGTTATTCAAAGTAAGGGTATGGTGGAGAATGTAGTAATTTCAATAATTCAAATCATGAATCAATAATCTAGTGATTAAGTGCACATATGCTAGACTGATAAATCATGGGTTCGAATCTTTCAAGATGGGATCATGGATGGACATTGCAAAGGAGAAGTTCCACAATAGGATGAAATGGATATATATACATCAACGTTTTCCATGTGAATCTAGATTCAATTGACTCATGATCTCAACTATTCAAAAATTAATTAATTATCAAAATAGAAGATGATGTTTACTTTTTTTTAAAATCTGACTTATTAGAAGTGATTGTAACTAATGATCCAGATAATGGTAATTTCATTGATTTGATACTATGATTGAATTGGTTAATTACAATAACCTTGAATGAAGGTCAACACTTTCAATTTAAAACGAATAATAACCAGGTGAAAATGATTATGCAAATCAAGCTCCATTATGCATATATATATATGCTCATATTGATCATGTATTGTTTCCTTTTTTTTGTCATTGATACCTTGAATAAATAAGTCATAATGTGTGGGTTTGTACATAACTCTTTGTTTAATGAGAACAAGTAATTTACTTTTGTAGATTCATTTAATAGCTGATTTAATTTATGTATTTCTTTAAGCATCTATTTGATTTATAATAAAAAAAAAAGGTATATGTTGAATCGATTTGTAACAAGTTAATGCAAACATTCTTTAGTAATAATGCAACTTTTAAATCATTCACCAGTTTCGTGGAGGCCCGTTATTTAATTTTGTCCTCATTTAGATCAAACAATGTTATCGAAAGGATTCCCCACTTTATTGACCTGTGGATCTGACTACAAAAAGATTGTAATGAATGTTTGTTATCGTCTATCCTCGTATATAATCATCGACTTTTATCACGTTAGTAAATAACAGAGTTAAATAAATCAAATAACGAGAATGGACTTTTGAATACATATATTTTGTATATCAAGCGAATGGAATAGAGAGAAGAGAAACTACGCAGAGTGGAGATGGCTGGTAGGCCAACTCCCATTTAACCAAGCGTTATTTAATATTTATAGTTACACAAAAGTAAGTTACAGACATGTGATGAGTAATGGGATAAGAAATGTACACACAGTCAAGGTTGATAAGCGAATAAATAACAAGGTCAAAATGTGACTGAAGTAGAATGAATAGAATCGACTGTCCGAAAGCTAGAATAGGGTATACAGGCTTAACATAATAACCGACACTATACCAGTTAAGAGAATCAGAGAATCCGAAATGCCGAGAGTGGGGAGTGTCAGCTCTCTCTCTCTTGAAATGCTCTCACATGACCACGTGCATATAACCACGGACAGGGAAGTCCTACTCACTGCATTCTTGAACCACGGGTGTTGTTTTCGAAATTGAGAGGACCAAAAGCGAACGCTTGGTGCCTTATTCGAGTTGGTTGATACAGAGGATCCATCTAGGGAAGTTAGAAAACCCTCATTCCAAACCAATGGTGCACATGGACTGGCTCCATGATCTTGAAGGAACAAATGGTGTATGAACAAATTACTGATCACCGACTACCATGGGACTGCATCTCTTGACGTTACTCCACTGCATTGTGGATTAGACCTTTAGATCGAAGTCTCCGTGTGTGCCCCCTTAAGAAAACCACCCTTTTCGGTCTGGGCACACGAGCAGTATCTCAGCCTTCACACAAATTGAATGATTTATGTGGCGCATATCTCTTCGGTGCTTCTTTGTATCAATGTTTTTGTGTTTAAATAAGTTAAATAAATATAACTCAGAAGTGATCAAAAATATTTATTTTTAATCTTTTAATTTTAACCGTATTCTATCAATCAATTTGTCTATTTTATGAGTATCTGTTGAAAGCATATGTGGAACATTTAATATTTTATTCTATTAACCTAGAGAATACTTTCATCCTTAACTATTTCGAGTATCGATCAGTGATTATGAGCAGACAAGATGGTGGTTGGAAGAAGTCAACAGCAAACCCTCGAACAATGTTTCGTGCTACCTGAGACTCGTCAGCAAAGTACATCTGAAATCTTAAGGGGACTGATGCTCCCTGACAAATTCGATCCCGTGTCACCCAGCTGACCTCCTGTAGGATTGAGATATATTTAAAATTGATTGATCACCACTCAGTGATAAATCAGTTGTGATTATGACCAATTATGATTGCTAAAATGACGAATTATTTTCTAATTCACAATAACTAAATATTTACCATTCTTTTATTAAGTCATTTCGAGAACTATGTATAAGAAGGTATAATCAGCTTTAAATTAATACTTTCTACATATATTTACCAACATTTATTATTATGGTCAGTAATATAAGTTAAAATATGACCAGTGCAGTAAACAGTTCTGTTGTGACATAGTAACTCACCAAAGACAATGATGGATGATTCCGCAATATCGTGTATTGGTTGAAGTTAGACAATAATACTGTTGGATGCCGGCTCAGTGATCTAGATAATAAACGTTCACGCACGAGACCGAAGGTCCTGGGTTTGAGTTAGGTATGCAGGATCATGGATACGCACTGCTCATCAGTGACACACTACGACGAAACGGTCGTCCAGTGTTATCAGATTTTCCATGGTGATCTAGGTTTAATTGACTCATGAACTCAACTATTAAATTACTATAATATCTACAAAATCCCCTTTCTGATAATAAAATATAAATTGTAAAAATATCGAAATATCTTTTTCTCAAACTGAAACCAGGGAATAGCATTACTCTTAAATACTAAATCTTTAAATCCGGTCTGATCATATCTTGATGGATAATCATTTACATCATTAGAATTACGACAATAATATATTTCTTCAGAACCAATCATTGTACTTACAAACTATTCAGTAGTAAAACAATATAACTAAAATATAATGAAATAAACTAGGGAAATGTATAAGTTCCAATAAAAAATATTCACTTTTAGGTAATTTCTACAGATAATACTGAAATATTTCTTTCAGTATGACATCGTTTGTGTTTTACGTTTTTCAATAAACATCTCTTCTGTAATATCATCTAGAATACTCTTCTGATTATTGTTAAAGGTGGTTTGTGGAGATAATTGAATTTGATAGTACTTAACCCTTAAATATCCAATGATTACTATTCCTAGGTTATATTAATCCTCAGTATTGCGTAACCGTTGGTGATTAGTTAACTAACACCCAACACTGGTGAGCTTCTGATATCGATCTCCTGCGGTAGAGTCTTAGATATGGTCTACTGTAGAATTGAAAGTATAAAACAAAGTAGAAAAATAATGACAACTATATATGTATGGCATACTACTTACTACTTACTTACGCCTGTTACTCCTCGTGAAGGAGCATAGGCCACTCACCAGCATTCTCCATCCAACCCTGTCCTGGGCAATCCTTTCTAGCTCCGTCCAGTTGTAATTCATCCTTTTCATATCTGCTTCTATAATCCGACGTAATGTGTTGTTTGGCCTACCTCTTTTCCGCTTCCCTTCAGGGTTCCAAGTTAGGGCTTGCCTCGTGATGCAGTTTGACGGTTTGCGTAATGTATGTCCTATCCATTTCCATCGTCTTTTCCTAATTTCTTCTTCAGCTGGAAGTTGCTTTGTTCTCTCCCACAGAAGGCTATTGCTGATGGTATCCGGACAATGGATGTTGAGTATCTTGCGTAGGCAGCTATTTATAAATACTTGTACCTTCTTGATGGTGGTTGTTGTAGTTCTCCAAGTTTCAGCTCCATACAGTAGAACTGCCTTGACGTTCGTATTGAAGATTGTGACTTTGATATTGGTTGAAAGTTGTTTTGAGTTCCATATGTTCTTCAATTGTAGGAATGCGACCCTTGCTTTGCCGATCCTTGCCTTTACGTCTGCATCTGAACCTCCTTGTTCATCGATGATGCTTCCTAGGTATGTGAAGGACTCTACATCTTCCAGAGTTTCGCCATCAAGAGTGATTTGATTGTTGTTCTGCGTGTTGAATTTGAGGACCTTGGTTTTCCCTTTGTGTATGCTGAGGCCTACTGATGCAGAGACTGCTGCTACACTGGCTGTCTTCATCTGCATCTGTTCGTGTGTACGTGATAGGAGGGCTAGGTCGTCTGCGAAGTCCAAATCGTCTAATTGATTGAAAAAAAAAGAAAAAAAAAGAAAAAATTATATGTATGGCATATCAACCATTATATGTGATACTTATTTATAAACTAATTATTCGCTTATCAACCTTTACTGTTTTCATGTAAGTGTATATGTGTGCACTTCTTATCCCATTCAATCATCATATCGTTTCACGGTTGGTTAAATCAAGTTGGCTAACACGCCTTCTCCATCGCGCGTCACTTTGATTCTTTACTTCTATTATTTGTATGGATCAACAATTGTATGAAATACACGTATTCGAAATTCATTCTCGTATTTGACTTATTTATTTCCGTTATATACTAACATAAGTTAAGTCAATGATGATATACAAGGATTGACGATATGTATATTTCAATATCAATCAACATACGATCCAAATTAATTCAGATCTCCAGGCCACAAGGATTAACGATATGTATATTTCAATAACAATCATGCATACAATCGACCTAGAATCAGATACAGCGCCACTAAACACAGCATATATGTACATATGGTCATCATATGTAATTGGTTTATTAAATTAAATTTCAAAAAGAAAAAAAACAAGAAAATTCTTGAAGTAAATGGATGTTTGTGAGAAAAAAAGTGGCTTACACATTTGAAGAAGCCTTGAAAGTTCACATGGATACATAAGAACAAAAGGATTGTATATTATATAATGGACTATAGAAACTCACGTGCAATTGAGTTTGTTCACATTTAACTCGGTTAAGTCATTTTGTTAACTTATTATTGAACTGAGTTATCTGTACAACAACAACTTATCTATATCACTGTATCTTTATTATTGTTGTGAATGTATGAACATGTATGCTTGAGCATTGCTTACTGCCTACGTATTTATTCACGCTGCTAGCCTTAATACTAACCGCTAAATTGATTCGATGATTCATTCGTTTCACTATGTATATATATATATATATATATATATATATATATCCATGTTATTCATGTTCATTGCTCTCTCTCGCTGAATTGTACTCGCTTACTCGTACTCGTATTCGCTGACTCACTCGCTTGCATTTCGGCACAACTCTTTCATGCTTGTTCAACGCACCTGTAATTTCGGATATCTGTGTGTGGTCCCATAATAAACATAATCAACACTTTGTATTCGCCTTCTGATTAATATACCGTTGTGGCGTTATCTAGTGACGGTTATCAAGACGAACTGTATACAAAGTTTAAGGATTATATGGAATACCGACCACCACAGGACATAAAGTGGACATAATTAGTGTGTTCAAACTAATCTATAAATATTATAATTTCGTCATTTTAAAATTCAATGGAAATTATAACAATAAACAAACTAAATAATGACATAAATTTGGTTTGGTATTGTTTACTTGTATCTTCCCATTGTTAATTAAGATTGCAATTGAGCAATCTCTTGTTGACAAATCTGC